TTACACTCATCTACAGGCCAGGACTCTACAGTTTACATTCATCTACAGGCCAGGACTCTACAGTTTACACTCATCTACAGGCCAGGACTCTACAGTTTACATTCATCTACGGACTCCAGGACTCTACAGTTTACACTCATCTACAGGCCAGGACTCTACAGTTTACATTCATCTACAGGCCAGGACTCTTCAGTTTACACTCATCTACAGGCCAGGACTCTACAGTTTACACTCATCTACAGGTCAGGACTCTGCAGTTTACACTCATCTACAGGCCAGCGGTCACTCTTTCAGGGATGAAGATGTTCTCATCCTTGATAGAGAGGAACGTTAGTTTGAGAGAGGAGTAAAGGAAGCCATCTTTTGTGAAGAAAAACCGTCCACCATTAAACAGAGGCGGAGGCCTTCGTGTGCAGTTGTCGTCCTCCTACAACGCTGTTATTGCAAGTATGACTCCGCCCCCTGTGAGCAAAAGGTGTGAATCAGGGTCCCAATGATACCAACACAGAGGGAAAAAAACAAACAAGGGGACGTTGAACCCCCGCTTGCATTAACTACATTCACATAAAGACACGGGTCAGGTGATGGGGCACATGACCCTCTATGAACAATAGAACCAATCAAGCCTATTGTTAGTCGATGGCCCTCTTTTRCATGTGACTAACCTGTTTGTCCATGTGGAGGCGGAGCTTATAAGGCTGAGTTCACCTGAAACTCATCAGACTGAAGAAGTCTCTTGGAGGAGAGACGAAACATTTCACTAAAGAAGAACCATCCAGAGGACCTACTGATTTTTTTTTTTCTTTTTGATTTTTTCTACCTGGATTACTGAGATGCATCAGGATGTTAATAAACGAATTAATTTATTTGTTTTCCAGGGTAATTAATCATTTATTAATGATTATGTAAAGCTACATAAAATTCTACCATAAACCGCTTTAAAAATTAAACTGGAGTCCCACAACGCATTTTCAGTTTTTGGTAAATATCATTTATTACAAAGCAGGGGTCATATTGTTTATTAATTTATTTCCTTTTTTATTTATTCATTTTTCAACCACAGCACAGAAACAGCTGCACTGATCAACATGAAATTTGTCAGGAATGTAGATGAGTCTGACCTACACTGAGCCCACCGACGGCTTTATGATACACCCCATATTTGAGGAGGGGGCTCCATCTGAAAAGGGGGTGTCAGGACATACAACAATGCTTAGCTCTGATGAAGGGTTATCCATCAGGCAGCCCTCCGGACCCCCACCCAAAACAAAAAGTCTGTTCTGACTCCTGAGTTCTGTCGATGCTTTGTGTACATGTGTGGGTCATATTGTGTTTTAAATGAGTCGTAACCAGATGTGGTGCTGATGTTCAGCTGCATCATCACAGACGAACTGTAAAAATAAACACACAGGTGTCTGAAAGCACAAAATGCAACTAAAAGCTAAAAAAGGTACAAAATATTTTATTTAGTTTAACTTAGCCTCAGAATGAATTATTTCATATTTATTGTAAGCTGTTAAAGCTCTGATCCAACAGAACATTTATCTGATCCAGCGTCTCCCCCCCTCCCATTTTTTTCTTCTCTCAGAGTAAATTTGTCGTCAGGAAGCGACCCCCTCCTCCTGCCAACTGCACCCCGCTGGGGGAGAGCTGTAAATCTCCGGGCAACGTTTGCTGCGACTTCTGTGCTTTCTGCCAGTGCCGGCTCTTCAAAACGGTCTGTTTCTGCAGGATGGGCAACCCCCGCTGCTGAGCCCCCCCGCCGCCCACCCCAGCACGTCAGGAGGGGGAGGTGGGGAGAGGCGACCCCGCTCTGTCGTTTTATCCAAACTCACAGGGTGAACACAGTTTATTATGGACCACAGTACGGTGAGGGGGGCTTCCAGCTCAGCTATGAGGGGATTGTTTTTTTTCTTTGAGCTGAGCTGTTAGCACACAGCAGAGGAGTTTATGTGACCAAGCAGTTCGATACGTTTACACACGACTGCAGGAACATTTAACTTTACATTTATTATGAAGCTTGTAAAAATAAAAATGCATTTTTAGAACAAAAGAGTTTGTAATTTTTCTTCCTGTTTCTGGTTTGAGTTCCTGAAAACAGGCAAACACTCAAACACACAAAACTCAAATAGGAAGTATTTTTGACGTGCGTTAGGGGAGACCGGGGACAGTAGCAACAAGGGACGGTTGCAACACGTCATTTTTCTCCAAACAGAAACAGAGTGATGACCCTCACACTGTACATGCTCAGTTAGATGTCCCACCTTGTAAAGAAAAAGTCAACAGATTCAAAAACTGATCCAGGATTTATTCCAGTGGTTTGCAAAAGTATTCATACCCCTTGAACTTTTCCATATTTTGTCACATTACAACCACAAACATAAATAT